CATATTATACTATCAAACTCTTCAAACTAGTGAGGACTGAAAGTGCTATAAATAGCGAATTATAACAAGCTTTGTTAATATCTTGCTCGGAAAACTATAAATAGTAGCCAGAATTATGAATAACTTAAAAATGTTTCCATTTGAAAATATGCTAGAAATCACAATACTCTTTAATGTACCAGTACTAAGCTTTTTACAGGAGGTGATAGCTTAGCATAATCGTAGCCAAAGGCTTTGCATAAATGGTTAACAAAGCGGTGCTGATAAATTACTTTGATTTCGGTTAAAATAAAATGGGCGAAATTCTTGTATAACTGTTATAATTTTAAGTATTGTTTTATTCATACACATGCAACGATTATTAGTAAATTATAACATTAATAGTAGGAATATCAATAATCCCCCTAGCATACAATCAAACTATAAAGCCAATGGTAGCAATAACGATCCCTAATTGGAATTAAAATGCAATAAATCTTCTACTATATTAGTTCTTTACCTAGATTGTAACATGTTGCTTGGCTAATCGAAGGATATCCGGCTGATGCAACCTTTGCACTTTATGTGTTTAAACGCTATAGTATGAAATTAATACTATGATAAATTAAGCTATTAGTAATCAATTTACGGGCGTACTTCTTCAAGAAGCACAGTTTATAACAAAAAAGTGATTTTAGAAAGGCGTTGAAACGTTTTCTATAAAGCAGCTCTTTGTGAGACTATTGGTAGTCCGATAGTGCTAGATACTCTCTGAACTATATCATGATTTAAAAATTATCAAGTGATAAGATATTTCCGTGTATTTGCATAGTTCTATTTCAAGGATGGAGCGTATAAAACTTTTCCTTATTTCATATTAAAACTAGCTACAAAACTTAACGTAGCCGAACTTTTTTGTACAAAGCGTGTAATATATATTACTAATCGTAAATATAAAAAGATCTATAGTCTCCATTGAGCCGTGATAAGTATCAATAAAGATTTTGTTACTGTAAAACTTGATTACTACATTATCCGTTTAGATCTACATAAGATTTTTGGTACTTGGTCTTATGAAAGATAATACTTTAAAGAATTTTTTTATTATTGACTAATGCTAATACAGAAAGATGAAAGCGTTAAAAATAAAATTTAGAGGTGTAAGATATCATTTCTAAAGCTCGGTAGCAGGCTCCAGCATTAAGCCGATGAGTTGATAGGAGATTAACAGATATATATATATCTTGTATAACCCGATAAAATTTTAGCCAATAGTCCAGATATCATTCGTTGTTGCCAATGTAGAAAATTATTTAAATCGAAATCGACAAGTGATCGGATGTTTTACAAAAAAGAAAGATCAACCAGTACGTGCGGTGAGTAGGAAATATATGCTATACATTAACTACGGTAGATGCGGCTAAAAAAGTGTAAATTCAAATTATGATCAGTTCCTATGAATTATTAAGTAAATAAAACACGTTATGCAGTGTTTCTAAAGGTTTGCTATTTATTAGATATTATACAATTTCAACAAATATATGAATAGAGTCTACGTAATTGCAATCTATACGGCAGTTGCCTTAAAATTAAAAATATAGACACTTTCAGTAATAATAGCACTGGTTGACAAGATGACCAGGTAGTCCATAATTATTACACAGATACTCGTACACCTGACATTATTCACTTTGGAAAACGTAAAGAATCGATTCAATCAAAATCAGTACGTGATTGCTTTTCTTCTAAAAAGAAAAGTAAAGTAAACTCATCTGGTGAGTAGAAAATCTGAAATATAAAGTATTATTGTTATATCTTCACTTTTTTGTTAACTACATACTAGAACCGATCATATAATATTTACAGTAGATGCAGCTGAATTGCGTACAAAAATATAGATATTATAGTTATATAAGTGTCTTACCATAATTAAAAAATAGTTATACTATATTAACCCAGTATAATAACCATTGGATTTGTATTATTTCAGCAAGGGTATTCGAATGAATAAGTACAGCTCTCAATTCTGTGCTATATATTCACCATCTTTAGAGAAAGGATATGATCATTACAAATATCATTAGAAAGTACCAGCAGTTTAATGCTTCTATGGCTTACAAAATTAATTCTAAGACTAGCCACCAACTTGCTCTTGCTTGATTTGAGTAGATAACATTAATAATAATTTTCTTTAGAACTTGACACGTGAATTTAACGTACAGTTATCCTGAAATATGATCGTAGAAAATATTATTCAATTATCGGTGGTGATTCACCTTGGATAAAATTAAACCTTGAAGAGTAAGATAACGAATTGTTTCCAATGCAATTAATTTTATTTTAATGTAGGATTATTTGCAACATGCTTCAATATATATCTCTAGCAAACTCCTCATGTGCAAATAACTACATTTTGGGAATCTTATTAAGTTTATCATACGAGCAGGTTGATGAAATTAAATTAAGCAGTAAATTTCATAGTTCTTACGATAAAATATATCGACTGCTAACACTGTAGAACGATAACGCCGGTGAAAGTGCTGATACTTTTGAAGTTGTTTCAGATTTATTTGAGATTAGTATCAACACTATCGCTGAACAAATCTAAGGAAGAATATAAGAAGATGAAAGAGCTGAATGAGAGATACTAGTAATCAGTCAAAGATAGTTTCAGGTCTCACTTGGTTTGTGTATATTCAAGATATGAAATATTACTTGAAAAATAACTTGCAGATTGAGATTAATATATCAAGTCTTTGATTTTTGATTAATTCGTTTCTGATTTATTTTCTATCGCATAAAATTTATATTTTTAGTTATTTATAAATCTTTCTTGTTGATATATAATATAAATATTAGCCTTAATTGAAGCACTCCGGTTGTAAATTACTTACAAAAAATGTCCAACAAATATCAAAGATGCAATAATTAAAGTCAGAATATAATAATTTGGCGCAATGAAATCTTAAAATATAAATAGAATTCCCCACTTATAGACGTTGAATACTTAAGGTAATATGATCGAATTATTATAAATCTGACCCCCATAATAATATTTTACGAAAATTTATTAATTTTGATTAGATATAAGTGTTCTCATATAGCTGAATGTATAGAGAATATATGCTACCTGTGCGCTACTACCAAGGATCATAGCTGAAAATATTGTATTTATATACTGTATTATTGTGCAAATGTGAGGCAATCAAGTAGGTGTAGCCATACCAAATCAGAGTAATGTCAGTTATTGAGCTCTTTAACCTATAGCTGCTTTCGATGTGTACATATTACCTGAAGTAATCAACTCATGAAATGTTACGTATAAATTTTTACTTAATTAAGGTTTTACCTAAAGCATAATTGGTATGCAAGTTATGCATATTATAACGTGCAAATCCAAACCCGCTCAAGCTTAGCTGAATACCGATGAAAGATCAAAGCACTAACAAATGCCGCTATCTTAATCATCAATGACTAAAGTAACTGCGATATCGCTTTGATCGGAATACTGACAGTAGTAGACATTAGATGCTAAGTAAAACTTTTAATATCATACTGCCATGATGTACGAGTATACGGTAGTATTAGTTGTCTTTGTTAATAATGGTGATTGCAAGCTTGCTATTATTAGCAGTTATAGCTCGAAAATAAAGATCACGCTCTTTACAGATAGAATAGCTATACTTATTCTTGATAACTACAATATACTATTTATAATGTTCAGTCTGGAGAAGCGTAGTAACATTATATTTTTCGAACGTTTGCTACGCCTCGATTTCACTTTTTTCAGAATCTCAGGGCTGATGAACTTTAAAGTGAATGTTAGACCACGATTAAAAGACAAGGTAAACTTGTTCAGTTTTGGATGATAGTATAAATGTTAACATGGGTGAGGTTATTCCGAAAATTTTATTTAATTACGGAACAGGAGACGCAATCATTTAGTGATCGTAACTTCCTGTTAATAATAATTTAAAACAATCGACATTAACTATTATCACATTTTCATTCCATAAGCCATTGGAGTGGCTTAGAAATTTTAAGTTATTCATTTGACGTGTTGAGCTAATTTGGAATGCTACAATTGTAACTGAACCCTTGGTTGCTCTTTTCTATCTTACTAGAGCAGCATTATCACTGCCTTGGCAAATCATAGTCGATCAAATTGCAAATTTCAGATCTTCATACAAGAAATATCGCTCTTGTCATTATTAAGCTAGTACTATTTATAATATCAATCTAATGGAGTCATCTTCTTTGCTAGCGAGTTGTAGTTTATATCTGAAACAATTCTGTACTATTCTTATTGAAATTAAAATGAATAGACGTCCTAGTGGCATTTCGATTTCGCAATTTCAATCTTAGCTTCTTTCTGTATCCAATTTTAAAATGACTAACAATTAAAATACAGGTAATGACAAAGTACCATCTTCGGTAAAGTTATCTAAACCTTCTGTTACTATTTTAGGTTAATAGCAAAGTAATTAACGGTTTGCACGTAAAACTAACAATCTAATTACAGATAATGACTAAGTACCGCATTAAGAGTTATCTAAACTTTCTACGTATTATTACAAGTTAACAGCAAAGTAATGAAAGGTTTCCATGTAAAGACTAACAATCTAAACACTGGTAATGATTAACTACCGTCTCTGATAATATTATCTTAACTTTCTATTTACAATTACGGGTTCAAAGCTAATTAATGAAGAATTTCCATGAACTGATCTAGTAGCGACCAATCTATAGAATAGAAGGTGGTATATACTTCCTATTGACAAAGTTCGCATCCAATAATTTTCAATTCATTACCATAAGAATGTGAACATTTGATTACAAATTGTTTACTGATTTAATTTGGTAGTCGCTGATTGGATTAAGGCAAGAATAAACTATGTAGGTTATAGCATCTTTGGTGACTATTTTTGAACAGTTATTTCCGATCGTGGAAAGCGTCACAATCATTCTTACTTCCTAAAGGATTGCAGGGTAGAACCTTCATCCTTAGCTAACTGATCAACATGTCTAATTCTGATAAAGCATCACAGCAATTGCAAGATCACGCCGCATCGCAGGTACCTTTTTCTCTTTTATTGTTTGCCTAGTCTAGTGCATTTAAAACTTTCGGTTAGGACCGTTTCTCCACTTTTTAAAAAGATCCTTCAAGGTTTTGCAATAATTCATTTACATCTCAATAAGAGATTCACCATGGATCCGTTACAATATTGATAGGATAAATGATCGTGTAAATTGATCCGTATAATGATGGAAGAATTTTATTCTCCGATAAAGGATATCCTTTTTATCTTTAATTCGATATCCTAGTATGGCTTGCATAGCATATCATTCTAGAAGAATCTGCTGAGAATTTAGTTCTAAAACGAGAGAAGCGAATTGTTCTCCGATAGAGAATCATATTTTTATAGCGTATATTCGAAACCAAATGTTATGTTTTGCAATCGTTGTATCCTCGTTCTCTACTATTTTTCACTCAGTACGGTAGTAAATCCATAGACTACAGATTAACAAGCTAAGGAGGTAAGTGTCGTTCTCAAAAAATGAGGTTATTTCTCGTAGAATAATATTTTCATCTAGACTCAGGATTGAAATAGATCAACTTCTTCATTTCTCAAGATCTTTACTAATAAGGAAATAATGGGGTTGAATTTAATTCCATCACTAAATGGGTTCCTTCTCAGGGAAAAAATGACGCTATTTTATATTTGGAGTGATTGCTAATATACTTTTAGTATCAGCAGATTTCAATTTTAGTCTCTTCATTATAACGTAATTATAGTTCTTAATGAAGCTGTACCATGAAGAGAGCGAGTTTTTCTAATCAATGATGTCATTTCTTTACTTAGAGCGCTATCCTACTATAGGCTTGTCCGTTGCCTTTTCGGTAGTCAACTCGTCATTAATTAGTCGTCATTAATCGGTAGTCAACTCGTCATTAATTGTATCTTTGCGCACGAATAGGGATATGGACTATTAGTTATCCCCTCTATACCAAATACAGTATGAAAAATGAAAACATTTTCTCTCAGCATGATTACCTTACTATGCTATATCATTCTGTCACAGATGTCAATATTAAATAATTCCATTGGCCTTTTTTTGGTATAGTTTTTTAAGGATCGCCTGAGTTTTATGACATGCATATTCATGTTTATTTACTTTAGATGTTTTATGACTGCGCTTGCTGTCACAATGGAGTTGATCGCATTGATATTTTTTTACCCAATTTCATTATGAAACCTATCCAATTATTTTACAGATTGCTGTTGCGATCCTAACCGATTGATCTTTATTTACGCGTTGATCATCTTCTGCGGAGTTTTTAATTACCTTTTTGACTTTGGGCTTGATTCCTAATCGATGCTAATCACCTGCTGCATATTTACCCATTCAGTAAGAAATGATACTGATGGACACTTGTATTGAGATCATCTTTGACCTATTGATAATTTAGTGACATCATTACAGCTTATTTAGCACGGAACAATAAGCTTGTACTTCAAATATGCATAAAATTGACAACTTAATTCAAGATTTCTAAAGCAGACAGGCAGCAGCGAGTACCATTATTTCCTCCATTTTATCCTTTTTAAAATAACAACATCGTTAAGCATGCGCATGGTGGATGCCATCCACGGTAATAGCATTACATCATAGGTCTCTTCGATTTTCAAATGTTGAGCTATTTTTATGCTGATAGCTAAGAAAAGTTCTACTATTGTATTCCGCTTAATCAAAGTAATGGACAAACTTGTACTATAATTTAATCCATTGCATTATGGATTGCATTTTGGATTGCCTTTTGGAATAGATTAATCATTCCTTCTATTCTAGCATGCCAAAAAGTATTCTCAAATTAAACTAAAGTAAATTGTAATATATCATATCTCTTTGATTTTACATATTGAGCTATTCTTATGCTGCTAGCTAAGGAAAGTTTTTTACGTATTCTATTTAAACGACATAATTGATAAACTTATACTATACTTTACTCTATTGCATTTTGGAATAGGTGAATCATTCCTTACATTCTATTACGCTAAATAGTATTCTCAAATTGAACTATAATAAATTGTAATATATCGTATGTTTTCCCTTTTAATACTGAGGAATTTACAGCAGAAGATAGTTGGGTAAAGTCTTTCTATTATGTTTAAAAGATGCTATGGCTTAACTTGTACTATAATTTACTTCATTACATCTTGGAATAGGCGAATCATTCCTTATTTCATCATGTTAAATAGTATTTTTAATTTGAAATACACTAAATACTGCGTCATTAATATATCAATATAAATGATCAAAGAACGCTACATATATGGTTAAAATTGCTATTTATTAAAAATTAATTTATAATTAACTTCGCATCGGATAATTGTAAACAAGATTTTGTATTTTAAATTTGACCATCAAAGATTAGTAAATCTAGAAAATCTAAAACTAGATTAGTTTAGTAGGACTGTTCCAATACTTATTACAATCTTATGACAATTAAAATAAAAAAAATAAATTTCATATCGATAGTATAGTTATCTTACACGATTAAAGTCGTCTATATGCTGGCTATGAATCTTATCCTAATTATATAAGTAAGTTTAAGCTGGTAAAAAGGCATAGGACAGTCCTGTAAATTGAAATTAAAATTTTTACTGGCAATAACCTTACTGTAAATTGGTATCCTTACGCGTAAACACCAAGCCTTACTATCGATAACCTCTATAAAAATACCAAACATTCCATCGTTGAGAAATCGTTTTAAGCTGTGAGAATCTATACAAAAAAGATGATTTGCTATAGTAATGTATAATTTAATAACTATAAGTAATGGTGTCGATTCTGAATAACGGATAAAGATTGTTGAACACACTACTCTGTCAAGAGTAGAATATCCATCAAGATTGAATGTAAATTAACAAAATGGAATTATAGGGAAATGCGCAAACAAATAATCTCTGCAAAGCAATTTCCTGGCTTGGGCATCCTTGCTACCTAAATGATCACGTAAACAATTTTAGTTATATTATATTATTACAGATATTAAATTGCCAATGATGGCCAATAGCAGATTTTAGTGATTCAATTTAAATATTGAAATTATTACTGAACGAGTACTTTTTATTTTATTTGCTTTATCAGAACTCTGATATTTTAACAAATAGCGGAGGTGATCCTGTTGAAAGCCTTACAAATCTGCAAACAGTTGGCCCACGAGGACCAGCGCTGTTCCAAAATATCACCTACCTAGATAATCAAGCACATTTTAATCGAGAACGTATTCCAGAACGAGTTGCTCATGCTAAAGGAGCAGGTTACTATTTCATCTAACATTTGCAATATTTAAAATAAGGACTATGCACTGTGTATACCTGCTAAAGCGTATCCAAAAGCTTGCATTAGGATCTCGAGTTTGTACGCTAAGCGTTTAAGTTTGCCTCGTTAGTAATAAAGTCATATTATACAGTATCAGCTTAGCACGCAATTTTCATTTGCTTTTATAGGTGCATTTGGCTACTTTGAGGTAACCAATGATATCACCAAATACTGTAAAGCAAAAGTATTTGCAAAGCTTGGAGACCGTACACCAGTTGCTGTGCGCTTTTCTACCGTGGGCAAGTCAACAGAATTTCAAAACTCTTGCTTGACATAATATTATTAATTTAGACGTTTACAACAAAAATAAGCTACTCTCCTATCGACCTAAAACTTAATTTCTGTTTCGCAGCTGGTGAAAAGGGCAGTGCAGACACGGTACGAGATGCTCATGGATTTGCAGTCAGATTCTATACTGTCGAAGGAAATTGGGATTTGGTCGGAATCAACTCACCAGTCTTTCTTGTTCGAGATGCAATCTTGGTAAGAGCGTTCATACTAATTTAAATTCAGTAATTTCTGTAATACCTTGTTGACTGTTGCCTTAATTTTAATGTAAATATATAATTATCGTACTGGATCATTTTCAAGTCTTATCGATGCAGAAATAGATAGTTATTTCGGCTTGTACTTTACCTACTCTTTAATTTAACGTTTTAGTCCTTCATTGACAATATTCTATTATTACTGTGCTTATCCAATTTTGTTGTAGACCAATCAAGGTGTCAAGAATCTATCAGCACAACAAGCCGCAGCATTAACGGGAACTGATCCAGATTATGCCATAAGAGACTTATATAACGCTATAGCCGCAGGCAATTTCGTAAGTTGCCGCAAAAGCTGAGATATCAATTTCTTCCTCACGGCCAACGATTACTAATTTTAGATCGTACAACCTTACAGCCAAGTTGGAATATGTTTATCCAAGTCATGACTTTCGAGCAAGCCGAAGCTTTCCAGTTCAATCCCTTCGATGTGACAAAGGTATTTCCCTTTAGTACCGTACCATCTAGCATATCTCTAAATAATCAGGAAAATTGCAATAAGCCTCCGTTTCCATGATTTAGATATGGCCCCATGCAGAATATCCTTTGATTCCTGTTGGCAAACTGGTACTAAATCGTAACCCTACCAATTATTTCGCAGAGGTTGAACAACTTGGTTTTTCACCAGCTAATTTAGTACCTGGTATATTGCCATCGCCGGATAAAGTTCTGCAAGTAAGCGTAATCTAGAGATACTTTGGAATAATTCATTTAGTCTCCTCAAAATGATACCAATTCTAGCGACGAACTCTGCTGTTACTCTTACATAATTAAATAAAAGCAATAATCTTGTTAATTACTGCACGTTCTCTAGGGTCGCTTATTTGCCTATAGCGATACACAACGACATCGTTTGGGAGCTAACGCTACCCAAATACCTGTAAATTGTCCCTACAACACAACTGTTAGTAATTATCAACGCGATGGCCCCATGACTGTGATTAATCAGGGTTAGATAGGATTTTTAAATGCGATCAAACTGATTTATGCAGAATTGCTCAAATTAAAAATGCACTTCAATGAATAAACCCCCAAAATTACGCTAAGGCCAATCAAATATTTTAAATAGAGAGAACAATAAAATATGTCTAGGTTATAATTATCTCTATGCTACACTAGTGATAGAATGTAAAGCTACTTGCAGTAATTCTATTTCAACTTATGCTGTATCGCTCATATTAATAAAAATAAACAAAGATTTAATTTAAATATATTCATTTAAAAATAATATCCAAAAAACTTTAAAACAGGCTAAAGATGATTCATATTAACGAATAGTAACTCAGCACTTAATTTTATTACGTAAGATTAGCATTCGATTTTCTTAAACTGTAAGTGTAATATCTTAGCGACCTAAGAATGATGCAGCTATGAGAATATAGATAAATTGTGTTAGCATTTATCAATCTTAGACTGTAAGTGTACTGACTTAGCTATCAAGTAATGATGCAGCTATTAGAGTATCAACTAAATTGGACTAGCATTTGTCAGTCTTAGACTATCAGTGTAATGTCTTAGCTACCGAATAATATGTCAGCTATGAAAATAGAGGCTAAATTAGAAAAGCATTTGTTGACCTTAGCCTATAAGTGGAAAGCTTTGACTCCCTAATTATGACACAGGCAAACGCAGCTATGAGAATATAGACTGAATTGTGTTAGTGAAGCTAAGACTAAACATAGATAAGCGTATTCATTATTTCAATAATAAATTGTCTTAAAATTGTAATGTCTGTTTATTCACGCCTACACTCGATAATTTATTACTACAATTCTCATCTTTATCAATTGGTACCATCCAAATGTTTTTATCCCTATTTTCGACTACCCGCTAGCTATAGTTCAATTATTATCCTCATCTATGATTTTTAAATCATTAATCTTCTCGTGTCATTCTTCTATATGAGTAGTTCTAGGTACAAGTTAGAAAGCCCAGCTACTGTACTGATATGATTACTACAACAAATAAGACATTATTTTCGTCAAGAGTATAAATCTTCAGTTAATAGATAAATCCGATTGAACCGAAATGATGATAAGACAATTAGAGTAATAGTGTTTTATTACACATATAGATATATATTGACGTACGTATGTATCCATATCCGCTGCTCAAATAAATGAGATCAGAACATGAATATCAAGCATTCCTTAAATATGAAATACCCGTTAATTTACCGTACGGTGATAAAGGTATTTATTGCAGTAAACATCGATAAAAGTAATAACTCAAAATACGCATCGTAACAAATTTGTTTTCGATTTAAATAAAATGTACTATCAAATTCTATCTACACTGGAAATAATCGAGTCAACGCTTGGGTAAATATAATAAAATTTCTTAACCCTGTTTATATTAATTGTTATTATCACCATCACATATACATACACTGGGCTGATGAACCTTAAAGCGTAGTATATTGGTGAATATACAAATACATATGATACATACAGTGTAGCAATTGTATTATGTTACAAGTGAACTAATTATAAACATGTCCAATCGCAAGTGATAATATAGAGTTGAAACAACGTATAAAAGAAGTACATGTACAATGTACATGTACTTATAGCCAACCAACAACAATTAGTATCATTAAGTAAAGGAAGAATCCTTTAAATTCGATATCATGTCAAGAAAAACTGAACACTATGAACTTATAATTGTAAGAATGACAAGTCTAAAGTAGAATTGAGCATCAGTACAAAATAGTATAGTAGTTATCATCAGTACTATTACAATAAACACAACATAGTATTTTACATATTAGCCAAGTTTACTTATGTACTTTATCCAATTTCACTATTAAATTACAGCAGAAATATTTTCTCTGTATAATACAATTCCTATAAGCTTTCTTATCAAGTCACAAGTCAACAGCAATATGGTCATTTCTCAGTATAACAAAACATTTTATGAAAATGTTAATACGAAGAAATGAATATTTTAGAAAGAGAAAGCATAAAATTATAGCTGTACTAATACAGCTATAAAAGCGAAATAAAACCGTAACTGAAAATTTGACGTTCTAATGCAATATGAGGGAACAACATTGCGAAAATTGCGATCTGTAATTAGTTAGGACTTTTAGGAATGAACCTATTTTCCATTTAATGCGGTTAGAATCGGATACATTAACAGATATGAAAAAGATTTCAAATAGCTCATCGATAATTTTACATTATAATAATACAATAATCGAGTCATATTGTGGAATCATTTACATTAATTGTTTTTATCTCAAAGTACAAGTACTTTTCATAAAATATTATCTTTTAATACAACTTCATAAGAAATTTAATTCATCCAACCACGACAATTTGGTGCCCCACACATGCAAGGAATCTTGTTTAGATCATCTTCGTATTCAAACTTGTAATCATAAGTTAGCTATAACAGAGAACATGAAATATTACTGTTAAGATCCTATATAAATTTAAATTTCCGTAATTAAATATAATTGATTAGCTGTCGTATCAAAATCATTACCTCTTCCCCTTTATCGATTCTGCGATTAGATATTATAATAATTCGAGGTTCACTATCAAAGGTGACTACTTCTGCCACACAATTTGGCTATAAAATTATTTCAAAGAGTTAGAGTTAATCAATTTTTAGATATTTATTTAGCACTATGCATTGTTTAAGCAAAGAAAACCTTCTAATCAATATCGCATACAGTATTAATACGAACTACAGTGAAGTCAGTTAGTAATGATAATTGCGTTGGTGCTTACCTGACATGAATGATTAATATACCTATCCATATCAAGAAAACAGACAAAATGATGAGTTTAAATTAGTTAAAAAGTTATTATTATGGTGAGAATAATATTCAACATTTCCAATAATTTTTTATTTGTTAAAATTTTGAATATTAATTGAAAGCAAAGAAATATCTTGACTAAAGTTATATATAACTACTGTGACCATGATCAGCAAATACTATTAACTGAAATACATAATCTTTTCCATTCTTTCAACCTTGCTAATCCTCCATCTTCCGTAGCGTCAACAACAAAGTCTGGATCAATACGAAACATGTAAATGCCATGATTCTATTGGCAATGGTAAAAAGTCAAGCATTAATTTCTATATTCCACACTATTGACATATTAAAAGCAATTCATGCGTCTATGATAACTGAGGAGATATTGTTGAAAGGCATCGAAGCTAATCAAAATAATGCTTTCATTGCATGGAATTTTTTGCCAATCGAACAATCGAAAGTTACAGATACATTTTAAAAATCTCAAGATCCAACAGAGCAGAGCAATAAAATAATAATTTACCGCTTTTTGGTAGATTCTTTCTCGCTTATTTGCAACTTCATTTCTAATCATAGCACCAATATATTCGATAACCATTGTATTCTGTTAATAATTAAAAAAACCTAGTTATTTCGCATCTCTATAACTATCTTAACAATTATAAATTCATAAGCAAAACCTTCTCAATGTTTTTCCTTGCAAAGAGTCCAAGACCCTGATTAATAATTTAAATTAGATTTTATGAGACTTTAACTGACCATATTGAAATTGTCGCCACGTTTATGCATAATATATCTATATATATGTCTAACATAGTTCGTAAAGGAGACATAACGAACCTGTATCAAAGATCTGCCTAGGTATATGTTACTCCTCCATTCACTTTTCAACTTTCTATATTGGGCAGTTTTGGAGTGAACAAAGAGTTTAGTATAAGATTGATGTGTATCAAAAACGCCACCAGCAGGTGCTCTTGCTGATATTGCCGTGGAAGTACAAAGCGTATGGCGCCTACATCAAGTAGAATAAATCTGTCAAAATGTTACATCATTGAGCACTATTTATTAAAGTCATACCTTTTAAAACGACTTCTTACTACTAATTCAGTTCGAGCACACCCAGAAGGATTAATTGCAAGTGGTAATTCCAAATAAGGACAACGACCATAACGAATTTTATAATTTTTCATCCCGTCAATCCCAGGTAGCTGAAAGAGTTAGCAATAAACGCAAAAATTTAAATAAATGTAACACTTTAGCAGATACTATATTCGTGATATATATCTATAACTCACCGATTCAAGCAGCCGAAGAATCCAGGGATCGAGTAAACCAAATAAGTCCTATTGGGTAAATTATAAATCATTACTATCAAATTAAAGCAATTGGTATTTTCACTGTATAATGTTATCTTTAATAGTAAGGATCTATTATAAACTAACTTCTCCTGTGATATAATCATCAAACAACTTTATTCGCTTGTTGTTTTCCCGTAATTGCCTAATTGATTTTAGTGATTCCTGCCACACATCTACATAGAAGCAGTAACATAGTATTTTAAATTGAGTGACAATAAGGTATAAAATTGCACTAGCACAGTTAACCTTTAGGACAATCTTTCTCGACAATTAGATGCGATTCATCTTTATGTTCAACATTGATGCTAAATTTCGGGGCACCAAAACTTTCAGTTATCTTGCAGGTGTAAAAACATCTAGTGTTATCACCATTTGGGCTCCAAAATATTCGTTTAACTTGGTATCCAGGCTAGATTTGTATTGTAACAATTGGAATTAGTTTTATAAACCAATTATGAAATTACTGTGGGCATTATAACATTAATGTACAATCTATTTATTATTAACTGACCGGGTAAACTGCAGTTGAACTATGGAAACCACTAAGATGGCGAGGCATTAACTGGCCCAAAGACTGAAATATTAAGCTACCGACTCTTAAGATATATCCTTTGTCAACCTGATCTTTCAAGACTCTGGAAGAAAATTTAATTCATAATAAATTATACCTTCGTTCCTTTTCGCTAGTATTTCCAGAGTACGAAATTTGAAAGTGAAATCACCTACCTAGATATTTGCATCAGTTCGTCACGCTTGATAAATACTAATCTACTAATTTTAAACGATTCCAAAACGATCTCGCAAGAGGCAGATTCTAAATGCTTCGAACAGTAAACAGTCTAAACCGAACATACAATAAAAAACATTCCCGTATATAAGTCGAATTATGTAATACATTTTAGCCCTCGTAATAACAAAAACAATCTCACTTTGTCAGCAAAAAATCGGCATTTGCTTTCTACAGCGCAATAAAAGTGATAATATCGATTACAATTACGCTGATGACATTTGATCGTAGCCCCCAGTTTCTTACAAAAGAAGCAGTTCTGCAATTTAAATTTTGATATTATAATTAGATGTTTAGACAAATCGGCATCCGCATTTGAGTGTACAAATTTTGGTAAACAAAAATACTGCAGTGGCATAATGAAGCTAATTTTTATACCGTTTTTTTGCCTTTAGCATAGGCATCTTGAACCATGTGTAATGCTCCATCGCAGGTTTCGTAAACATCGCAAGACCATAAAGCGCAATTGATATGTACCCATTTATCGATATCGAGGTTTAATAATCTTTCAGAATCGAGACGAAAAAGTTAAAATTTTAAGTTGTTGTATACATTTTAACAATGTCAATTACAATCAAACACCTAACAAACCAGTAACTGTTACCTTCCTCTATATTCTGGAGCCCCGTCACCAAATTCGGAACAAAATTCACAGCATCTTTTATCACAGATATGTTCGGGAGGAGATATTGTTGACTTTAGTTGTAGGTATAACTGAAATTGAAGTGAAAATTGGCATTTTTATGCTAGGTAATAATACTATGTAAAATATCGCAAAGATTACATATTAATTAATGATGAATACCTTATAAGACAATGACTCATTACGATCCGCTTGTGGTTTCTTTTCAAACGATTGCTTCCAATGTTTCCAACGTAACGATTTACGTCTCCTCTAAAAATTTACAGATGTAGTCATATTAATAGTGTAAGGTAAGGGAGTTACTGTTAAACAAGATATGTTAAATAAAATTAAGTTCAAACTAACACTTGCATTCAATTTTGATAGTGTGCCAAGTGTGCTAGATTTAGTCCCTCCCTCTTCATATTGCTTATCTGTTAAAAGGTCAGTATTAAAATTAGCTACACCTTCGCTATCTCCACATAAACTCTTCTATAAATAAAAAAATTTTTAAAGTGTGCCCTACTGTAATTACCGAAACTATTATCATGAATTTCCATGGCTTGGTTACTATCCCGGATCTCGTCCTTTAACTCTATAAATATCAAATTGTAGGCGATAGTAAATTTTAAGCTATTTCTATTATTTGCTGTTACAATGTCGTAGGACCTTAAGTTAGTTGGCAAATCTGTATAATTGAAAACTGATGTAATGCTAATAAGATTATTTTATTGAGCTTCGGAAAAATTTCATTAAATTTAATAACAATTATTTTACACACCTTCTTTTAAGGTGCTAGCAGGTTCTATTGCAGCATCATTACCTGCTCGAGAAAGAATCTCGTCAGTGTTGGTCGCTTGGTCACTTTCTTCTAATGGGAACTCCACATCTGAAATTTGTGGCGAACTTATAAAATCATCTTCAATATTTGTTTTTATTTCATTTGCGCCAGTAAGTCCATCATTGGATTTTAATTTTGGAAGAACGGGTTGAAACGCTAATTTATTTTCTCCACTTCCAGATATATCTGTTACGATGGATTCTTCTGTATCATATTGAGTTTGAAGAGGATTGGAAGTACGTGGGCTCCTACCGTGTGCTAATTTTTCGCCTTGAATTGCGTCAATAGGGAGAAGTATCGGAAGTTCAGATGAGATATTAGACGAAAGACTCGATGGAATACGAGAACGAAGTTCAGGCGGCGTGCTAGATGAGCGATTTGATGTTGGTAGATCGGATATCAAAGGATCATCGTTTATCAGTACTTTGTCTACAATATCTTCTGGAGATGAATCATGCTGAACAAAATCTGCAGTGGTTTTAGAGCAGTCTTGCATTGTGCTATCTACGGGAGACTGAATAGAGGCATCTTCTATTTTTATCTCCGTTTCTTCCCTTTTCATTATGTTGAGGACATCATCATTGCTGTTCTGATATCCTTTACATTCATCTCCATCCGTCGACACATTAGTCCTATCTTCAGTTTTAGTTCTTGTGTCTTTCAATTCATGAATAGCCAATACACAATCTTGCGATTCATTTGGTTCAGCTAATATAGAGTTAGATGCTTCATATTTATTGACAAATGAATCTAATTCATTGTCTTGGTGTGCACTATCGCTCATGTGACTTATTGTCGAAAAGTCTTTTTCCTCACTTAAAATAAGTGAACAACCTTGAGATTCTGATAGATTAATCATTATTGGTTCTGAAACTTCAGGAAGCTGTAGACCTTCAACTGCAGTATCCATAATACAGTCGTCATGCTCTACTTGTTGGCAGTCGTTAGTTTCATTACAATCGTTTTCTTGGATGGCATTGTCCTTTTTTGGTGAGCTATTGCCGTCATGTTGTTTTTTACTATCGTTCATGGCTTGATTGTCATGTTCAGTTTCTATATTTTCATCTCCATCTGTAACATCGTCAGGAAGAGGAGCCATAATATTGTCAGGTAATTCTAGATCTGCTTCGTTAAATGGCGCTGTTAAATCATCCACTAGAGAATTATTTTTCTTAGTTTTACTATAAGCGATTTCCTCCACAATAGGATCCTTTATATTTTCCTTTTGATAACTTTGTAAATGTTCTTTAGCTCCCACTAAAACTTTTTGTCGTAAGTCCGTTGATTTTGCTTGTTCTGAAAATTTATTTAATGCTTCAATCTTAGCTCTAGTAATCGGATCTGTAACACTCGTTGGATCGATCGAGGCTAGGCTATCTGCACTCTCCTTTCCTTGTTTACGACTTCTATTGCGCTTAGATTTCATTTTATTGGAAGTCATACCGCCATCGTTGTTATGGTCTCCAGCGGTGGAAGAATTCACATATACTGTTGGATAAGTTGGACTAAATGGGCTAGTGGCTTGCATACCAGTATTATTGCCTCTATTGTTGTTAATAGGATACATGACGTTCATATTCTGCGGAGGGAGGATTTGATTTCCAATCATCATTCGAGGAGAATTCTGAATGATAACATTATTTGATGGATTGACGTGAGCCATGGGTACAAATTGTTGCGGTAGTTCCATAGTGCGCTGATTTGGAACTGGTACCCAAGCTCGTATCGTTGGAGATTGATTGTAAGCGGGACTAATCTGTTGATTCCATTGATTGTTACTATTTAAAGTCCGTTGATTTGTGGGCGATGGTAAGACACGCGGTGGAAATGTAAATCGTGGTTGCATCGCAGCTTCTGTCCTATTCGGAGTTGATGGCAAATTCCTAGGCGTAGTATCATCCGTTCCTATAGCATGCATATTATTTGGCACTGGCATTACCATGTTTTGCTTTGGTAATTGCGTAGGAAATCGAATGGGACCTGGCGGCTGATTATGACTTAGCGGTGTCGCGAAAAAACCTTGCTTTACTTGTACCATGTTGTCACGATTAGGCGTCGAATTATTAGTTGTAGTAGATGGAACATTATGATATGGAACAACACCTTGAGAATTATTGCTTGGCCAAGCTGGACGCACAGGAATTTCATTATTTGGAATGGCCTGAGCTGGATATCGATAAGTAACTATACCAGGCCTAAGTTTGGACTGATAGTTGTTGGCATTCATAGCAGGGCGAATATAAAATCCATTGGTATTAGGCTGATTTACTGGTATCAATTGATTGCCGGTATTTGCCTGATTTTGTGGCCATGGCTGTTGCATTGGCCGGATACCACTAGGTTGTGGAGTACGATAAGGATTCATACCTTGCTGAATATGCATTGACTGGTTATAACCATTTTGTTGATTTACAGTTTCTTTATAAATACCGACAGGAGATTGATTGCGAGGTCTAATTTGCTGTTGATACTGGTTAAATACAGGCACAGATTGATCGCGTTGTGATGCAGAGCTTACTGTAAAGTTGGAATTGTCTGCTGTATTGGAATTCATAGTCCTAGGAATAGTTATCGTTTGTTGCTGATATGTATTTGTAACAACGGGTGCTTTATGACATACGATCGGTTTAGGAACTGGCGTAAGATAACCATTGAGCTCTGGATGCCCTCCATTCAATTTGTACTGACCACTCTGAAGACTTTTCTGATTACTGTTAACGCTTGTGGTCGTACCAGATACTTCATTCTTTGCATTGGCAGTAATAGCCCAGATATTACTTAAACGACTCCATGACGCAGTGACGTTTACAGGACTATCTCTCTTAGGGATAAGAGAGTTTGGTAATCGATCACTAATTACAGGATGAGAAATCGGCGGTGCTTGAGGGATTAGTATTCCCTCATCTTCTACTTCTTCAATTTTGACGGCTGTTCTATCGTTTGTTGATTTCGAAGTAGTGTTCATTAATTTCCGATTTTCTTTAGCTTTTGATGTATATTTAGCTCTCTCTGATGGCTCTAACTTACGCCATAACCTTTCCATCACCTTAATCCTAGCTGTTATTTCTGGGTATTCACTCTTTAAATTTGGATAAATCAGATTTGCGTACAGGATAGAAGCCATCGTAGATTTATTTCCTAATGCTTCTTCGCGTTGGCACTTCATTATTTGACTGGTTTTTGCCATCTGGTTGTGTAAGCCAGATACAGAATGAGTGGCATCGGTTTGTAATTCGGTATGATGCAGGTTATGGGGATAATTAATGTCATAAAAATTTTGAATATGAGACGTTGTTGCAGCAATGACTCCGTTGGTTTCATTGATATTCTTTGCTTGGATGGATTCCTTAGTATCGGAGCAATCTTCCAAAATATTAAATACATCATCTACTTCTATGCTGCCATTTAATATGTCTTCGCCAATATTACCACAGTTATTGAGAATACTATCAATAATTTCATGAGGAAATTCGTCACTACCTCTGGTCGATTCTTTACTACTAAAGCCACTGCTACCAATAGAAGGAAGATGATGCGGTCGAAGCAATGGATAATTTGGATCATTACTATCCTCTAAAAAAGAATTTGGAAGGTAGGCTACATTCTGATGTTGGTGATCTTGCGGTTGAAGGTAGTGATGATATGGTAAATTATGACCTTGTTCTCCATTAATTTGATCATTGTATCGTATTGAAAAATTGTCGTCTAAAATAGGCGATAATGTCTGATCATTGTCATTCATACTTTTCTTTATTACTTTTTTCTTCTTTCGCTTTTTTAGTAATCCATTATCATAACCCCTTTTCGATTTTTTAGTATTGATTAAGTAGGAATTCGAATCAAGGATATTAGACTTCTTCGCTTTATTTGTATGCTTCAATTTAGCAGCCAGTTTTTTCTCACGGATAAGTTTTTTCTTATCTACTTTCGCCTTAAATGTCTTTATGGTAGGAGTATCGCTAGTGTTTTCCTCACCCCATGCCACTTTTCGCTTCTTTTCTAATTTTTTCATGTATGTAATCCCGTTCTTCGTCAACACAATTTTCGATACGATGAATCTACTCTTTGTAGATTTTTTTAATCGACCGCTACTTGGACTGTTATTTCCATTACTGCTTTTTAAATGAATAAAAGGTATATCTTCAGATAACACCGATCCAGCACGTATTGGATTAAATTGGTCGAAATCGCTGGCTTCATAGCCTGCTTTACGGTTTTTAACTTTATTTCCTTCATAAATATAATAATTTACTAATTTGTTGCACAAGAATACGTTAGGGTCACAAAGGGAGCATATAAAATCAATATCAGAGTACATTTTAGCATCATTTTCGTTATGGATACCTTCACAACTACCATGTAACCACCTAGTACGTGAAATAAAATGTAGGTAAGTAGTGGAAAGATATTCAGACAAAATCTGCATTAAACAACGTAATTAAATACTCTGCTTTTTTAACTACTAATCTGGTACGCTAATTGATAATTAATTAATACTAGCTAGCAGTCATACCTATCACAGTTGTTACATTGAACAATTATATCATCATTAACATATTTTTTGTTGCATTTTGGGCAAACGGATGTACTGGCACATGGACCACATTGAGTATAGTTGGATGTCCACTGACAGTTAATCCCAGGAAAGTTGCTACCGCAATCATGGCATGAAACACAACTGAAAAAGCGATATAAAAGTATAATGTTATCGATATATGACATTTTAATTAAATTCCTAATAGTTTACAATCTAAGATAAATATAATTACAACATATCCTACCGATGGCATTTCCATTCTCCTTCCGGAACCTTGTCCAATTGTGGGTTCAAACAATATGTATGATAGCTAATATCACACTCATCACATAGTAGGAGACGATCTTCATCGCCTGCCTTACCACATCCTTCACATACGGCACAGTCTAGGCATCGCCAACCATTCACGATCACAGATCGTGTCAGCTAGTTACAAAATTTTATGTTGTCGATAAATTATCAAGTTTAGATTGTAATTTAAAGTAAAAGCTCAAGGAAATTTAGTCTCACCTTAGCGGAAACGCAGTAGTGGTGGTAGGATTGTCCACATTGAAAACATGCAATTAAGGAATTATCTATTCCCTTACCAATACTACCGCAACAGAGGCACATATCCTAAAATAATTAGTTACCAAAAAGAAACTGGTTGTTAATTAAGATTTTCTAAAACGTATTTTTTCGAATAAACTTGATTCCTCTATTAACGATTAATGCGTCATGCTAATATTAGGTACATCTAAAATAAACAATTAAAAATTTTTTTATTTTAATCGTCAAACCTGGTGAAGAGTAAACTTGTCACGAATGGAGATTAGTACTGCGACACGATGTAGACTTTTATCACTTGATCGCTCGTTCTCAACGATTACAGGTTCCGCAGACTTTTTTTCAGGCTATTTTAAAAAAATTAAATATCGAAATGGTAGAATCATCATTTCGTTGAATAGTGGTTGGTAAATCGCAAAGATGGTACCTTTACAATTGGATGTAAAGCAGTATTATCCTCTAAAATTTTCTTTTGCTTTTTAACATATTTCGATTTCTTAGTATTGAATCGTTTACGCCGTTTATTCTAAAAAGAAGGTTCATCAAAAGATATAAAATTTGAAATTGTACCAATAATTGAATACTAAGCGTTATTTCATGGATTAGAATAAAAATAATAGTTATGTAAAGACGTAATATAGCGTTAAAATATCCACAATACTGTATAGGTTAAAGGCAATCATGATCAACAGCAGACAGTTTTCAAATAATGTTTCATTCATCCTAATATTAACAATACACAGCAACATACCTTGGAATTGAAATCATCATATTGCTTTGGAGAATTATGATTACTTTCAGCTACGGGTTGTAATCGATCAGTTGTTGTCGTAGATACAGAGTCGATCGGTGAAGGAACTCCACTTGTTGCTAATTTATTAATTAAAGATTTAATCCGTAAACGCATATAATGGTTAGGACAATATACTAAAGAATTTTGTCCACTTAAATAGTTCAAAATCATATGAAAGGTCGTAAATTTGCAACAATAACAATCATTTACCGGCAATAGTTGCCGATTTTGAATCCATCTCATCTCCAACTGATAAAGTGCTATTAACGTCGTCATTTAATTTTTGAGAAGACTCGATCGGATAGTGATGACCATTCAGGGGTAATGTTGGTAGCAAAATTCCATGATCATCAATTGACTCAATCCTTTCTACTAATTGTTGCTGATCATTAACATCATATTTCTTGGGCGCGAATTTTTTGTTGATGCGTTCACTGTGTATGCAAAAATTAAAAAACATCAATCAAATTTGCTCATAAGTCTTAACATATTCAGTACAGAATTTAAAAAAAGTGTTACTTAGTGATATAACGAATATGAATATTTTGAAATTATAATTTAAAACTATACACCATTAAAAACAGAAATACACCCAAAAATATACAACGAAATCACAATATAAAGCGTTGAAAACATTTCATAATTCAACCTACTTCTGTAAAGTTGATAACCTAGAATGCATAGATAAAATGAAAGGTATTATTATCTATTGATAAGATATGGCTTACCTAGGAGAGTTTTCCTCTGTCCAATAGTGTTCGCATTTTTCATTCATCTTGTCGTAATTCTTCTAATGTAGCAAATAGATAGGCGTAAAAGACAAGTTACTAAATTTGTTATGACGAGCAGTAACCTTAAGCTTAAATTAGTAAAAGACCATTTCGTTACTAGAGATATGTCAAATAAAAATTTTAATGTTTGCTATCGCCAGATAGATGGATAAATAATTTTGGCTTGTTTTGCAAAAGCAAACAAATACTGCTATCAAGGATACTACGTTATAAGTACTCTATATTGTAGTGCATTAAATTTCTAATTATACAAGCAAAATTATCATAGCAGCTTAATCTAATAGTAATTATAATAGAAACGTCTAGCAGATGTTTTTATATAGCTCTAACTTACTGTGCTATCCAACTTTCTTTTACCATCAGATTCCTCATCATCTTCAACAGTTTTAATTTGCCTAGTTGACTATTTAGATAACAACGGACAATCAGTATTCATTTATATAAGGATGAAATAACATGGATTGATTTTGTAATTGCGATAAGCACTTGATGATTAAAGTAGAACTACATATACTCGTATTACCCTACTATTGTATAAATCAAGCAAAGACAGCTACTGTGTAGCACAACATTCAATATGCAAGAATAAGAAACTGATATAATTAGTGATGGAAAATTACGGTATAACAACAAAAGAAATGATCATGTTTTTGTTATCGTTATGTACCTGTTTTGCCTTTTTCGATATTCGTTTACGACCTATACATATCAATGGATAAGAATTAGTAATATATTCGTTCTATTGCTAGGCTATCTACTGTACGTTTTACAGTATTATTGTGTAGAGAAATAGTCGATATGTACAGCATTATCGGCGTAATTTAAGTTAAATTTTTATATTTGATACTACACGCATATTCATAGTTCAGCAGTAAGGGCTTTGAGATATATCATGATTTAGAATTTTCTTTAGCTGCAACTATTAGTATGCTCTATTTGTTAGCGGATAGTGAAACGAGAAATATTAACTACAGTACTGTACAGTTGGGATCCACTACAGTGCAGTGATGTTTCGGGCCGTGTCATGAACCCCTTTGCAATATCTACGAGTATATCGGATACTCTCGTAGGCATAATTGTGGTTACTTCTTGACCGTGTATTTTCAATTTTAGAAAGTAAAATTATTGTGATCGACGATGTAAGTCATAAAATATCAAGCATAGGTAGAACAAGTTCCAAGATATTAAGAGTCATTTTCAATTAGATATGGTAGCATTTGAAGCTAAAATAAGAATTATACATGCAGTACATCTTTCGGACTAAAGAATTTATGGTAGTATTGAAGAAATGATCCATTCGGAGAACCACGATCGAATCTCTTTCGCCGTTATGTTGTTGGTTATTATATGGATGTACTGTAAATTGAGCTTTCAGTTTCTATACAACTTGTTAGGCAACTTCAAACCAAGAAAATTATCAGAAGCAAGTGTAAATTATAAAGAAATTTTACCAACTAGAATGCTTGATGCGGTCAGATGACGAAATTTACTAATCTATGATGGGCAAACGGCGAATCTTTTAATCATATCACAATTTGTCTCAATTTGACATTTTTACTTGGCAAATTCGAGACAATGCGGTAGAGTGAAAAGGATTTTGACCAAGTTGTCAGCCCAGCCCGATTCCAGCCCTATCGCATCTAAATTATCCTGGCACTCATTACAGTTCCCACACCGTTCCTTGTATTGGTAATTAAAATATAGATATATTTCTAGGCATGAATTACTAAATTTTCCTTGTCATTAGCCTAGAACATGGACGGTAAAATTTTAGTAGTTGATGTCCTAGGCTAATTACGGTAACATCCAAAGTCTACAATTTCTCCCCACCACCGTTCAGTATGCAGTATGTTTTACGCATATGCGGATACTACAGTAAGTAGTATCCCATTAAGCAGCAAATTATTATAAATATGGAGTACAGTATGGACTAATGCGTAAAATAAAAAGAAAGAAAATGGGGTGAAAATTGGTAACGGTCGGAGAATAAACATGAAAAACCAGTGGTAATTTAAGCATTAACTCGTCCTGTGTATATGTAGTACTACCGTGTAAGCGTTTGCTGGTTATATCAATGTAATCCAGTGTGATTAATGGATGTGCCCAGGATTGTTAACCTTCAAAACTTATTCTACGATCAAATAAACTTTAAATAATTTAGTACGATCAAGTTCCAAAATTGTTAAGTTATTGTTTCATTTTTGTGTTACAAGTCAAAGAGGGCGCTGTAGATGTATGGGCAACAGAAAAGAACAAGGTTAAAAACTACGTAAACTACTGTTACATCGTCGTTAACAAATTGGAAAAGGTAGTAGTGCATTCTAGTGCTTACCTCGATCTGTTCTCCATATAGTGTATAGTATTTGGAGAGTAACAAGCATTAACACTACTGTACACTAGCGTACATGAGAGACTGTTGACGTAGTTGTCGATGGTAAAGCATAGGTTAAAGTAAATTGTTTTCATTTTGAACAGAAATTGAATATCAAAAGCATAGGAGAAAACTTCTTTGGATTATTTTTGTCTTATATTATTACTGTATAGAATCGTTTGATCAAACTACGATGGATTCATATAGTCCATGATAATTTTAATTGAATAAAAATCACGTAAATTACGCATATTTAACCTAGTGAAATCAATCCAATAGTAACGATTGTTGTCTGCTGAGATAGAATCAATACAAATAGTCGATATTATTATTATTGACAGGGAATATGCTAGGATTGAATTTTCTTATACTGCGGTTCGAAATCATGGATGAGTAAGTACTCCTAGAGTATGATGTAGTCTATGTTTAGTTGTAATGCCGTTAACAGAATCAATACAAGTAGTTGATATTCAAAGGCAAAGAATAAGTTTTCTTATACTGGCGTGCTGAATCCTGGACTAGGAGAATTACTCTTAAAGAGTATTGGGTAGTTCACAGTTGGACTTAGTACGAGTACAGTAGTTTGCTTTCTTAGCTTATTGATTCCAAGACAGTATTATCGGATGGTAAAGCGGCACTACTCGTATAAGGCGGTTTACTCTTGTAGTGTTCATTTTTACAAGTGGGGAATATTGTTCAATAACGCTACGGATTATTTGACAAAGCAAAAATGGCGTAGTTCATCGCATGTCCGTTGTACAGTACCTTAAAGTCCATACAGTATTGACTGCTATCAGTTGTACAGGCCAGAAAATTGTAATTATCAAAGATACACTAGATCACTAAAAGGTGCCGGCTACTATTTATCTGTCCTATCCCCAAAATGACAACGATAACATTAACAATTTTATTGATGCATGGCTTCTGTCGATGGCTTGGATATTGTGTACATCTTCTCTGTCAATGAGTTTATTCAGTACGCGAAGAGTTCAACATCCATTACAGTAGAGTGTATTTGTTATCGAGATGATTGACTGTCTTTGATATCAAGCATAAGCAGTAGAAATAGAAAGTGGAACAAATCGATAGGTGATATCGATAAAGAATGAGATGTTAAACAACGTATGTAAAATGATGTCCATCTAAAGTATTTAGCTGTTGATCAAAGTCTAAATTTTATGCCAGTCTAGTAAAATACATAAGAATCAACTATTACAGTTCGAATCATTTTGTAGTCCAAGTAGCTAGCCTACTTGGAATTGCCTGAATAGCGACTAGCATCCTTTGAATTCGATCGTAATAATCTCTGTGTCTATAGTAATGTGAGTTAGCAAATATCACAGTTGATACTAAAAGTCAGGAATA